GGGGGATTGAAAGCAGTAAGGAGTTGTAAAATTTTAATAATTTATTTGACGTAGTTCTGAAAAACTCGGCGGCTTCGGTGGGATTCGAACCCACGCCAGCGCGGTAAGGACTTTAGTAAAGCCAATGCTTTGGCCAACTGAGCTACGAAGCCTTTACCGGGAGCCGAAAGTTTAATCACACGGGGATCGAGTTACGCACCCGGCCTACTGAAGCGTGTGCAATCCGCCAATTCTGATACAGTAAACAGGATTTCTTAAACAGTCAACATAGAATTTATCATATAATTACAAGGCCCAATTAATTAATGGAAAAGAGACAACGTTGTTTTATCGTTTGTCCAAGGGTATCATAGACCTTTCGCATTTACGCCACCAAACGCTGGTGTTATATGGCACTCACAAATTCTTAAAGAATAACTCGACTAATTAAAAGATTTGGATTCCAAAGATGGTTGGTATTCATACATCAGTTTGAGCGTGTGGCTAAAGCCATTTGCTGATCGTATCCTTAGTGAGGTCGCTCACCCTCTCCATTCTGAACTAATGCCTACAAGGTCTCCCCGTACTATGTGCCGAAGCTTCCGTCATATGTCTCGCCGACCAACGGCATATCAGCATTCTCTTATCCCATTCCTAGCACGCCATCTCACGTGTAAAGAAACGGAAATTTAGAAGTTGAAAGCTGACCTGGCTCCCTAACAGATGTGGATATCGTGTAAACCTTTAACTTTGAGTATTCTATGACCTTATCCCTTGCTCTCTCCGTGAATGGAGCCATTTTTTGCTTAAAATTTTGGATATTACCTTCAGGATAAAGCACATTTTTCTCTCTCTCGTGTCTCTTTCAGTACATGTGGTGCTCTGTGAAACAGACCGAAGACCATCAACAACATCCAATAACCTCCATTTTGTTGGTAGAATGTGATTCAGCACACAGTCGCTACCTGAAGCATCCAAATCCATGTAAATCACCCTCGGAGGCAGGACGAAGCCTGACTACAACCGATGGATCTAGCCGATAGGAGGAGGGGCTTGGGTGGCCAGGAGACTGACAGCGTTACCACAATCAAGCATCAAACGCGCGCGTATTTTACTCAGTTCTCCGCAGACACACCCCACTTTGAAGTTTCGAGCCAAAAAAAATTGTATTTTTGCCTTAGTAGAGTCAGAGCGAACAAAAATGGGAACGAAACACACCTACGCCCAAATCGGAGCCAAATAGGGTTAGACCTATTGGCTTTGCTTGTAATTCAGATCGAAATGATTGAGGCAAGTTTTTTCCCTCCAAAAAGGCGCATTACTGCTGAATAACAATCATAAACTCTACTAAGTTCATGAAAAATGAGACTTGGATCGACATATCGAATGAGATTTACAATGCCAATCAGCTAGTCAAACGAAGAATTGAGAGTGAGCTGAAGAAATAACGTACCTGAAGTTGTTCTTTGCGAAGGGCAACCGGTATGTTCTCATTACTAGGCGAGTCTGGGCTGGTTTCCAGCTGGCTTTTCATATCACTGATGCGCTTGGAGGAAACTGAAATGCACTGTTTGATTGCAGCAAACCGTTCTTTTTGCAACTTGGACAGCTAATCAAAGAGTACTAGAGGTTAGTCAGAGAGTTAAGGGCCTACCTGTTCGAAGAAGGTGGCACATTGCTTGGTGGCGTCAACTGATTTGGTGAAGGAGGCTGTTGGCAGGGCGGCATTCAATTCGTTGTTTATGCGATCGTCAGATTTGCGCCAGGTATGCAGTATTTTCTAAAAAAAAAAAGTGGAGAAACTGCAATAAATCTTCGTGAGAGAGAAAGAGGAGTGAAAACACTCCTGAAATATCCCACAAAGCTGGTGTGCGACGCATTAAAATGCTTAACAGATGTCGTCCGATATGCAGCATAATGAGTAATCTCAGTTAACACGAAATTACGCCTCTGTTTTAACGGATTGACAAACAATAACAAGACCCTTTTAGTGGAGGAAATGTAGGTGTCATGACGCTCTAACAGGATGAATAGCGTAGTGGTCGCGTGGCGGAGGCACTGAAGGTGCTTTCTACGTGAATGTGGTTCGGCTTTGGCTACGCAGACGTGATCAACTATTCAAGAGTTATTATCATGCGCTGGGTAGGACATTTGCGCTAAACGCCAATCGACAACTAAACTCACCTCACGTTTCATAGGACAACTTAGCTGTCAGACCATGTGGCGTGTGACAAACGGTGCAAAATGACTGGTCGTCTTCCACGCCTGATGGCGTCGTTAGTCGATCGCTTTTTGCCTGGCCACTAGTAGAGGTGCGCGAATAATGTGGTATTTTCATGCTAAAGATATATAAGGTTTGTTTAGTGCAAATTGTCACTCCAACCCAATAGTTTTTTACACTCATTTATAATCGGGTTAAACCGCTACTCTAAGTCTAGTGGGAAATGATTTTTTCCAGTAATTCGACATCCAGCGTGGCATTTTACGAAGCTGTGCGTCGTCATACAGCCCGCGTTACTATGGTAGTAACAAGACAGCTTGGATGACATTAACCAAACTTAGTTACACTGACGACATCGTCCTGTTATTGTTCAGTCGGTAGTCGGCTTACCTATCAAAGCTGCAAAAGCATGTATATTTGTGCTGTCTTTTTGGGCAAAAGACCACCCTAGACGTGTATGGCAGTCAGCTTGACATACTTAACTTCAAAATACCGGAGTCAAACAATTGCCAGTCGGACGAGAAAAAGAATCACAAGAAGCTGTGCTCTCGCAGAACTTCTGCAAGTATCCAATGTTATCTACAGACCCATTGCGATACTCCAGTCGCCACCCAAATATG